TTTTTTGACAGGTAGAGTTATAGACATTGAGAGAGAGAGACAGAGAGATAGGTCTTCCTTCCGTTGGTTCACCCCCCCCCCCAAATTGTTGCCATGGCCGACACTGCGCCAATCTGAAGCCAGGAGCCAGGTGTTCCTGGTCTCCCATGCCAGTGCAGGGGCCAAAGCACTTGGGGGCCATCCTCCACTGCTTTCCCGGGCTACAGCAGAGAGCTGGACTGGAAGAGGAGCAACCAGGACTAGAACCCGGTGCCCATATGGGATGCCGGCCTTGCAGGTGGAGGATTAACCAAAGAAGCCACGGTGCCGGCCCTTGGGTCATCTTCTACTGCTTCCCCAGGCCATAGCAGAGAGCTGGATCAGAAGTAAAGCACTCGGGCCTCTAACTTTGGTGACCACTACGATGCCAGCACTGCTGGCACAGTGCCAGCCCTGGACCAAGAATGTTTTAACCAGAGGCTATTAGCACCTGCCTGTAAAATGTGAACAGTATTAAAAAGGATTGTTATTATTTTTTTTTTTTGTAGGAAGTTTTTTTCTTCTGGTCTGTAAAGTTAAAGTGGGAAAGCCTGAGGGGTTGTTATCAAATTTTATTTGTCTATAAAGGGTAATAAGGTAGACCTTATGTTTTAGGAATTGGATCCTTTTCCAACTTTAACTAGATACTTCTGATTGCTTTGTAGGTACTGGAAGAGGAGGTAACAGCATTTGGGGCAAGAAGTTTGAAGATGAATACAGTGAATATCTTAAGGTATATATCCCCAGTGTCAAAAACCTATTACACATGGTTACACTCAGATACTGTGATACATTTAGTAACAAAAGATAACAGCATTACTAAGTGAATATACTTTTTTATAGTTTTTCCACACTTGATAGATCATGATGTCAGAGAGAAACTATAGCCTATCATGTATACTGGAATCTCACTCTAACACATGGATCTTCTTGAGATTTTTATTTATCTATGTGAGAGACAGAGAGAGAGAGAGAGAGAGAGAGAGAGAGAGAGAGAAAGCTCCCATCCACTGTTTTGTCCTCCAAATGCCTGCGGCATCCTGGGCTTGGCTAGACCAGTGCTGGGTGCCAGGGACTCAGTACAGGTCTCCTACCTGGGTGGCAGTGACCCAGCTACTTGAGCCATTACCTGCTGCCTCCCAGAGTCTACATTAGCAGGAAGCTGGAGTCAGGAACCAGAGTTGGGTATCAAACCCAGGCATTCCGGTATCCTAATCAGCATCTTAATTGCTAAGTCAGATGCTTACCCCTCAGCCTTTTCTTGATTTAGAAACTGAACAGGGCATTTGGCCTAGTGGTGAAGGTGCTGGTTAAGATGCCCACATCCTCTTTACATTAGTAAAAATTTCAAAAGGGGAAAAAAAAAAAGATACCCATATGTCGCTCCCCCTCTTCGCGGAGGAATGACACTAAACCCTGCCTAGGTTTCCTATCCGAGTCACGGCACCATTATGTTGCTCCCCCTCTTCGTGGAGGAACGACACAGGACCCTGCGCTGTTCTTTTGTCTGCTCGGCCCTCCCCGGGTTTGCTGCTGGTTCTTCCCGGGTTGGCTACCGTCCTTCCACCTCCGTGGAAGGGCGGTTCCCCCTGCCACTTTCCCCTCTTCCGCGGGGGAGCGGCACACCGCCGGCCGGCTCTCTCAGGGGCTGCTCAGATGTTCCTCAGGTGTTCCTGGTGCATGTTGTCTCTCTCCTCCTTTATAGTCCTCTTCCACCAATCCCAACTCTGCTACCCACACGCCGAGTACGCTGCTCTCCTCCAATCAGGAGCAGGATCAGCTCCTGCAGGTCATCACTCAAGTTGGCGAGAGGCAGCTGCGTAGAAGCTGTTTTCTCCTCTCCCAGCGCCATATTGTGGGAGAGCAGATGCACAGAATAAGTCTTAATTCCAGTAACAGTCTAGTCCGAGTTGCTCCCCACACCCATATGCCATATCAGAAGGCCTGGGTTTGATACTCAGCTGTAGCTCCTGACTCCAGCTTCCTGTTAATGTGGACCCTGGAAGGCAACCAGGATGGCTCAAGTAATTAGATTTGGTTCACAGGAGTTTATGTTCCCATTTGTGGGCATCTGGGGAGTGAACCAGCAGGTGGGAGCAGTGCTTCTCAAATAAATCAGTGAAAGAAACAGAACAGTTTTTAAACATGAATTAATGGCTTCCATATTCCAGTTGAAAACCAGTGATTGGCTATGACAGAGTCATCTGTGGAAATAAAAGAGTCTTACCCACCTAAATATAGAGGCAAACTAATTAGGACCTTTACTATATTAAGGTTCCCCAGTTTTCCTTTGCAGGTACAGTTAAAAACCATGATCTTCTACACCAGGGTTGAGGATGTATGCTGGGTCTTCCCACCCTCTGAGCCAGCAGTTGCATTCCCAGATGCTTACCCAAGAGATACTTGTACACTAAGAAAAGTACAGGACGTTTCCTGTTGTATTATTTGTAATAACAAAAATCTAGAAATAAGCCAAATGTTCATTGATTATAGAATGCATAGATTTTAGCACATTCCATAGTGAATCACAGAGCAGTTAAAAAATCAACATGCTTAAACATGTATAAACCTTATTTTTAAAAATTTGTTTATTTTTCTTTAATTCGAAAGGCAGGAGAGAACAAGATACATTTCATCTGCTGGTTCACTCCACAAATGCCCACAATAGCTGGGGCTAGGCCAGACCAAAGCTAAGAGCCAAGAATTCAGTCTAGGTCTCCCATATGGGTGACAGGGAGCCAAGTACTTGAGCCCTCATCTGCTGCCTCGCAGGGTACGCATTAGCAAGAAGCTGGAACCAGAAGCAGAGCTGAGGATCAAGCTCAGGGATCTCAGTATGGAATTTAGGTATCCCAAAGGACATTGTAGCCACCGTGCCAAACGCCTGGACCCTGTATAAATCTGAGAAATGTAACAATGTTAAATGTGAAAAGCACATCCCAGAAAACCAAGATTGTATTATACAATGTTTTAGGGTCCAGAAACTAGCAAAAGCAAACAATATATTGTTTGCTCGTGGAAACATGGGGTTACCTCTTGCAGAGACTGAAGAAATGGGGAGGAGCACATAGGCATATGTGGCGATTTGGAGATTCTAGCTCTTAAGACTGGAAAATACATCAATAGATGCTTATTTTATTAACTTAGAAATGGTACGTGTATTAGAAATATATCTAGGGGTGGGCATTTGGCTTAGCAGCTAAAATTCTGCCTGGGATGCATGTGTCTTGTGTCAGAATCCCTGAGTTCAAATTCTGACTCCTTTTTCAAACCCAGCTTCCTGAGTGTGCTCCCTGGGAAGCAGCAGGTGATGGCTTAAGTCTTTAGGTCCCTGCCACCCACATGGAAGACTTGGATTGAGTTCCTGGCTCCTAGCTTTAGCCTGGCTTAGCTCTGGCTACTGCAGGCATCTGGGGAATGAACCAGCAGATGGCAGATCTCTCTGTCTTTCTGTTTCTCTGTCTTCCTGCCTTCCAAATATGTCCCTAAAACTTTTTTTAAAAGAAATATAGGGGCGGCATTGTGGTACAATGGGTAAAACCGCTGCCTGCAATTCGGGCACCCCATATGGGTGCTGGTTCCTGTCCTGGCTGCTCCATTTCTGATCCAGCTCCATGCTAATGCACCCGGGAAGGCAGTAGGGAATGACCCAACTGGTTGGGCCCCTGCACCAATGTAGGAGACCCAGAAGATGCTTTGGTCTGGCGCAGCCTTTGCCATTGCAGTCACTTGGGGAGTGAACCAGCAGATGGAAGATCACTCCCTTTCTCTTTGTCTCTCCATCTCCCTAACTCTGCCTCTCAAATAAATAAATCTTTAAAAAAAAAAAGGCTAAGGGGCCAGCATTGTGGCATAATGGATTAAGCCACCACATGAAATGCTGGCATTCTATTTCAGAATGCTGTTCTGCTTCTGATCCAGTTCCCCGCTAATGTGCCTGGGAAGGCAGAGGAAGATGGCTCAAGTGCTTGGGACCTATCATTCTGTGGGAGACCTGAATGGATCTCCAGGTTCCTGGGTTTGGTCTGGCCCCACCTGGGTCATTGATGACCATTTGGGGAATGAACCAACTAATGAAGATCTCTCTGTCCCTCCCTCCCTGTCACTCTGCCTTTCAAATAAATAAATAAGTCTTTTTAAAAGTTTTATCTGATATTACTTTGATAGGTAATCACCTTTTAGGGAGAAAATAAAGTATTAATATTTTGATGTAGTTGTATCTCTAGGACTTATTTAATCAGTGTTACCAGATGAATAGCTAAAGACAGGGTAATCATTGGAGTTACTTACGGTATATTTTATAATTGGGCACCTCCGAATAGCATAATTCTTAGTCATATCTTCAGTCTTACCAGTAATGTCCTTTTCATTCCTGAACACAAATAGTACCGTGATATTATAGATTGATTAGCTCATCCAGGCCTGGGATTGTGAGTTGACTGTCCATGAATGGAAGACCCACAGATTCATTCTCTTTGGTCATCAATTAAAAAAAAAAGTTAACGCCATTAGGCAAGAGATAGGCTATTCATTTTTCCAGACTCCATCTCTCCCCAATGTTTACATTCTTTCCAATGGTCAGCTTACTGTCTGCAAGACCCTTGTGAGCATGTGAATTATGTGTAGACCCTGAACTAACCTCGCTTCGATTTCAGATAAAGCCAGTGAGTTCAGTACATGTGAAGAGATTAGAGGGATTCTGGTTTTGTTGGCTGCCTTATTGTTTCATGCCAGCTCATTATTCCTTAATGTAAATGTAAGAATTATTTCTGTTATGCATTGGCATTACTAAACTGCTTATGGCTATACTTTTCCAAAGTACAAGTGAAATTAATTTGGGAATGTGCTTTGATTTATAAACAAGTTTTTACAGGTTTTCAAGGATACGGATTATATAGAAACTGAACATCTGGATTAACCCAAGTAAGGAGAAACTGGTTAAGTGTCTCCTTGTTCTCTTAAATATTGGAAGGATAAAAAGTACATTTCTTGACTCAATAGTTGGAATATTTATATAATAACATGGGTCAACACTTTGTTCTTTTTCAGCACAATGTTAGAGGTGTTGTGTCTATGGCCAATAATGGTCCAAATACCAATGGATCTCAGTTCTTCATCACCTATGGCAAGCAGCCACATTTGGACATGAAGTATACAGTATTTGGGAAGTGAGTATTCGAGGTGTTTTTTTTTTTTTAACTTTTTTACTAATTTTTATTTATTTGAAAGATAGAGACAAGACAGAAAAAGATCATTCATCCACTGGTTTATTCCCCAAATATCCACAATAGCTGGAGCTAGACCAAGCTGAAGCCAGGAGCTAGGAACTACATCCCAGTCTCCTTCATGAGTGGTGGAGACCCAATTACCTGAGCCATCATCTGCTTCCTCCCAGGGTGTACATCAACAGAAAGCTGTAATTAGAAACAGAGCCGGGACACAAACCTAGGCACTGACATGAGATGTGGGTGTTCCAGAAGCATCTGAGTCATCGGGCCAAAAACCTGCCCTGGTTATGGTTTTTCTTAGAATTTCAGTGCAAGGGGTACATAGGCATGGTTAGCATAGCAGCATAACAAATACTGGAAAGAATGATATGAGAGCTAAATATACCTGAAGTCTAAGTCTACCCCTTGTTGGCCTGTGACCTTGGGAAAGTTACAACCTCTCTGAGCCCCGTTTTTATTTTGTGAAAGAAGAACCAATAATTTTTTTTTCCAGGATTGTTCTGTAAGTTAACAGTAATGTATCTGTTTTCATTAAGAATAGCGGTTCACAGCAATTAACATACCTTTTCAAACAAGGTGGCCTGGCTTAGTGTTTCCATTATGTCACCAATGTTCTAGGCACTTGTGTCTTTCTTTCCAACCATCATTAGCTATCCTCTTGGGCTTACTTCATAGGCATAATATGGACAGCACTGCTGCAGCCAAAACATCTGTGTGCCAGCCACACAGGAAGAGGAAGCACAGAAGTAGCCTACCAGCTGAGTCAGCTCCTTTTTAAAGAACTTTCCTGGACGACCCAGAATTTAGATATGTGGCCATGCCTTTCCTACAAAAAAGAATAGGATTTTTTTTTCCCAGCCTGGCACACTGTCATCTTTGATAAAATCAAAGTTTCCCTGAGAAAGAGGGTGTATTCTAGGGAGGTGCTGCCACATTATCTAATATAAGCATTATACCTGGAAGTTGTTTTTATAAATCAATGGGAAGTAAATCTGTTCATTCAACAAATAATTTATCATGCTCAATAAACCACGGAAGGTGTGGGTGCTTGGCACCACGTGGTACTCCTATATCCCATATTGGATTTCCTGGGTTCAAATCTCAGCTCTGCTTCTATTTTTTTATAGAAAGCTTTTATTTAATAAATATAAATTTCTTAAGTACAACTTTTGTATTATAGCGGTTCTTCCCCTCATACCCGCTCTCCCACCCCCAAACCATCCCACCTCCTACTCCCTCTCCCATCACATTCTTCATTAAGATTCATTTTTAATTATCTTTATATACAGAAGATCAACTCTATACTAAGATTTTAAGTTTGCACCCACATAGACACACAAAGTATAAAGTACTGTTTGAAGACTAGTTTTATCATTAATTCTCATAGTACAACTCATTAAGGACAGAGGTCCTACATGGGGAGCAAGTGCACAGTGACTCCTGTTGTTGATTTAACAATTGACACTCTTATTTATGATGTCAGTGATCACCTGAGGCTCTTGTCATGAGCTACCAAGGCTACGGAAACCTCTTGAGTCCACAAACTCCATCAATATTTAGAAAGGGTCATAATCAAAGTGGAAGTTCTCTCCTCCCTTCAGAGAAAGGTACCTACCTCCTTCTTTGATGGCCACTTCTTTCCACTGGGATCTCACTCACAGAGATCTTTCATGTAGGCCATTTTTTGCTACAGTGTCTTGGCTTTCCATGCCTGAAATTCTGTCATAGGCTTTTTAGCCAGATCTGAATGCCTTAAGAGCTGATTCTGAGCCAGAGTGCTGTTTAGGGCACTTGTCATTCTATGAGTCTGCTGTGTGTCCTGCTTCCCATGTTGGATCATTCTCTCCTTTTTAATTCTATCAATTATTATTAGCAGACAGACACTTGGTCTTATTTATGTGATCCCTTTGACACTTAATCCTATCTTTATGATCAGCTATGAACTTAAACTGATCACTTTAACTAGTAAGATGGCATTGGTACCTGCCAACTTAATGGGATTTGGAATCCCATGGAATTTTTTAGCTTTACCCTTAGGGGTAAGTCTGAGGGAACATTGCTGAACTGTAAATCTCCTCCCTCTCTTATTCCCACTCTTATTTTTATCAGGGATCAATTTTCAATTGGATCTAAATGCTTGAGAATAATTCTGTGTTAAGAGTTCAACCAGGCTGGCACCACAGCTCAGTAGGCTAATCCTCTGCCTGCGGCGCCGGCACCCTGGGTTCTGTCCCGGTTGCCCCTCTTCCAGGCCAGCTCTCTGCTGTGGCCAGGGAGTGCAGTGGAGGATGGCCCAAGTGCTTGGGCCCTGCACCCCATGGGAGACCAGGAGAAGCACCTGGCTCCTGGCTTCGGATCAGTGTGATGCGCCGGCCGCAGCGCGCCAGCTGTGGCGGCCATTGGAGGGTGAACCAACAGCAAAAGGAAGACCTTTCTCTCTGTCTCTCTCTCTCTCTCTCACTGTCTACTCTGCCTGTCAAAAAAAAAAAAAAAAAAGAGTTCAACCAATGGTATTAAGTAGAAAACGAAAATACTAAAAAGAATAAAATAGTAAGCCGTTCCTGATCAAGTCATTGCTTCTCATAGTGTCCTTTTCACTTCAACAGGTTTCCTTTTTGGTGCTCGGTTAGTTGTCACCGATCAGGGAGAACATATGATATTTGTCCCTCTGGGACTGGCTTATTTCACTCAGCATGATGTTTTCCTCCACTTTGTTGCAAATGACCGATTTCATTCTTTTTTTTACCACTAGGTAGTATTCCATAGAGTACATATCCCATAATTTCTTTATCCAGTCTTCTGTTGATGGACATTTAGGTTGATTCCATGTCTTAGCTATTGTGAATTGATTAGCTCTGCTTCTGATCCAGCTCTCTGCTAATGTGTGCCCTGGGTGGTAGCAGGTGATGGCTTAGATACACCGGTCCCTGCCACTCAGAGGGGAGACCCAGATTGAATTCCTGGTTCCTAGCTTCAGTCTTGTTCAGCCCTGGCTATTTTGTATTTGGGAAGTGAACAAACAGATGGGAGACTGTGCACTCGCTGTCTCTCCTTGTCTCTCTTTCTCTCATTCTCTGTCGCTGTGCCTTTCAAGTAGATGAAAATAAACATCTTTTAAATGAAGGAAAATATATTTAGCTTACAACTTTTTTATTCCATATACATGTCTCTACATTTTTTATAAGTGAACATCCAATTTATTTAACATTGAAAGTTCATTAAGGGACCGACACTGTGGCGTAGTAGGTTAAAGCCCTGGCCTGAAGCACCGGCATCCCATTTGGGTGCTGGTTCAAGACCCGGCTGCTCTACTTCCGATCCAGCTCTCTGCTATGGTCTGGGAAAGCAGTAGAAGATGGCCCAAGTCCTTGGACCCCTGTACCCACATGGCAGACCTGGAAGAAGCTCCTGGCTCCTGGCTTCGGATCAGCACAGTTCTGGCCATTGTAGCCATCTGGCGAGTGAACCAGTGGATGGTAGACCTCTATCTCTCTGTCTCTACCTCTACCTCTCTGTAACTATTTCTTTTTCTTTTTCTTTTTCTTTTCTTTTCTTTTTTTTTTTAATTTGACAGGCAGAGTTAGACAGTGAGAGAGACAGAGAGAAAGGCCTTCCTTCTGTTGGTTCACCCTCCAAATGGCCGCTACAGCCAGCGTGCTGTGCCGATCCGAAGCCAGGAGCCAGGTGCTTCCTCCTGGTCTCCCATGTGGGTGCAGGGCCCAAGCACTTGGGGGCCATCCTCCACTGCCTTCCAGGGCCACAGCAGAGAGCTGGACTGGAAGAGGAGCAACCGGAACTAGAACCCGGTGCCCATATGGGATACTGGCACCGCAGGTGGAGGATCAACCAAGTGAGCCACGGCACCAGCTCCTGTAATTCTGTCTTTCAAATAAATAAAAATAAATCTTAAAAAAAAAAAGTTCATTCAGACATCTGCATGGGCCAGCATTTTGACATAACAGGTAAAGCTGCTGCCTGCAATTCCAGCATCCCTTACGGGCACCAGTTCACGTCTCAGCTGGTCCACTTCCTATCCAGCTCCTTGCTAATGGCCTAGGAAAAGCAGAGGAAGATGGCCCAAGTGCTTGGGCCTTGGACCCCTGCTACCCACAGGGGAGACCCTGAAGAAGCTCCTGCCTCCTGGTTTCTACCTGGCCCAGCCCTAGCTGTTGTGGCCATATGGGGAGTTAATGAGCAGATGAAAGATCTATCTATATATCTCTATAACTCTTTAAACAAATAAATAAATCTTTAAAAGAAAAAAAAAGAGATATCTGCAATATGGCAATTTCACTGGCAATTTAAAATCCAACCTATGATTACTTGCTAGGGCTAGTTCACACTTAACACTAATTAAATATTTTATTGAATGAATATAAGACCAAACAAAATGCAAATGCATTCAAATGCTTTTTTTTTTTTAATTTAAAGATTTAATTATTTGAAAGGCAGAGTTAGAGAGAGAGAGAGAAAGAGAAAGAGGTCTTCCATCTTTCGGTTCCCTCCCCAAATGACCACAGTGGCTAGAGCTGGGCTGATCCAAAGCCAGGAACCAGGAGCTTTAGCAGGGGCCCAAGGACTTGGGCCATCCTCTGCTACTTTCGTAGGCCCCTTAGCAGGGAGGTGGATCAGAAGCAGAGCAGCCAGAAAAGGAACCAGTGTCCATATGGGATGCCAGCTTTGCAGGCAGCAGCTTTATCCTCTATGCCACAACATCAGCCCCTCAAAAAAAATCAACTTTTGGGCCTGTCTCCCGTGGGGCTGTGGGGGTCCCTCTTCTCCCCAGCCAGGGCTGGAGGCCGAGATTAGCCCTCTTGAGGCCATCGTCGGGACTGCAAGAGCTGAGCAGCCTCGTTTTCCTACCTCACACATCTGTAGAGAAAAAAACAAAACAAGACAAAAAATCAGTTTTAAAGACCTTTCTATTTAGGCTAATGACAAACACAATAAAGGCAAATATGCTAGTTTGATGTAATGTGCTGATGTTATACAGCACTCTTATCTTTTAGTCCACAAGTATATTATTAAACAATAAAGAACATCCAATAGGACCTATTTCTACAGAACTAGGAAATAAATGTCTATGAAAAAAGGATTTCTAATTTATACATTAGTGGTAATCGATGAAATTATCAAAGTACTAGAGGATCTAGTAATCTGTGTGTGTATAAACAACCCAGGATCCTTTCCTTTAGTTTTCTCTTTAAGTCATCATTCAGAATTATTGATCAATTATTGATTAATTGCCAGGACTTATCTTATTGGATTTGTGACAAAATTGTAGTGTTTAAAACAAAAATTTTTTTTTTCCTTTATTTGAAATGCAGACAGAATTAGTTCGCAATTGCTGGTTCACTCCCCAAATGCCCACAGTGGTTAAGACTGGGTCAGATTGAGGCTGGAAGCCAGGAACTCAACCTGGATCTCCCACATGGGTTGCAGGGACCTGGACCCAAGTAGCTGAGCCGTCACATGCTGCCTCTCAGGGTGTGCATTAGCAGGAAGTTAGGAATAGGAGCAGAGCCAGGATGGGATGTGGGTATCCCAACTGACAGCTTAACCACTGTGCCAAATGCCCACTTCAGAATGAGGATTCCTAACTTTAGCTTCATAAATTCCTTACAGTTGTATGTTGTGTGGATATGCAAATACGTTTTGGGAACATGGTCTGTAATTTCTTGCTCATTCTCCAAGGGGCTCATGTCCTAGATACTTGAGCAGACTTAAGCTGCCTCAGCTCTGCCTGGCCTTTTTTCGCGTGAGAACTGTGTACTTATATCCTCTGTTTCTCTCATTGACTTGATGGTAGAAAACCCTGTAACACTTACAGTTTAAAGACTTTAGTTGCCCTACATTTAGAAATAAAATCAAAACATTTGGGTCATTGTGGTTATTGCTGCTGATACCCCTTCCAAGCATTTTTTTTTTTAAGATTTATTTATTATTTGAAAGGTTGAGTTACAGAGAGGCAGAGGCAGAGAGAGAGGTCTTCCATCTGCTGGTTCACTCCCCAGATGGCCATAATAGCCAGAGCTGGGCCAATCCAAAGCCAGGAGCCAGGGGCTTCTTCCATGTCTCCCACGTGGGTGCAGGGGTCCAAGGACTTGGGCATCTTCTCCTGCTTTCCCAGGCCATAGCAGAGAGCTTGATTGGAAGTGGAGCAACTAGGACTCGAACTAGTGCCGGCACTGCAGGAGGGGGCTTCCAATTATGCCACAGCACTGGCCCCCCAAGCATTCTTTTCTATATTCTTTTTTAACACATTCTTTTAGTGGAAATGCAAAGTAAATTAAAATTGTTATCTTTGTTTTTTTTTAAGTACATATGGTAAATCTTGAAAATTAATCTGAGTTGTACCAGGAAATATAATCTAAAAAACCACCTTTTTTTAGACTCAAATGTCCAAAACATGCATTTTAAGTATTTTAAGGCATCTTCTCCTGCTTTCCCAGGCCATAGCAGAGAGCTGGATGGGAAGAGGAGCAGCCGGGACTAGAACCGGCATCCACATGGAATGCCAGCGCTTCAGGCCAGGGTGTTAACCTGCTGTGCCACAGCGCCAGCCCCTGGTCTTTATCTTTAGTTCCTAGAAATGAGCTTCTAAAACCTTTGGAATTTTCTGGTGATAGGATTAGACAAGTACTTTGCTGGTCATAATAAACCCCTCTCAACCACACCTGAGTATGCTAATAGGATGACTCTTGGTGGGCTCTTGAAAGCAGAAGGGTTGCCAGAGGAATAAACCACATGATTTGAGGGTTGGAACTCCTAATCCTATCACTCTCACCACTCCATCTCTGTGGAGATTTGAGTTCAATCACCAATGACCAGTGACTTAAATTGCTTTGTGATAGAACATCCATAAAAACCCTAAACAGGGTTAGGAGCTCCAGACTGGCGGATTTAGGAGGGTGGCCTAGAGGGAGACAGCATGGACGCTCCGAGCACCTGCTCTACACTTTGCCCTATGAATCTCTTTGGCTATTCCTGGTTATATCCTCTCTAATGAACCATAATAGTAAATAGTTTCCTGAATTCTGCGAACCAGTGTAGCAAACTATGGGATGCAAGAAAGGGATCATGGGAACCCCTGATTTGTGGCCAGGTGAGGTCACTACCTGGGACTTAGAACTGGCACCTGTGGTAGGGGGGCAGACTTGTGGGCCTTGCCTGTGAGGCCTGCATCAACTCCAAGTAGGTAGTGTCAGAATATTACATTTTAGGGCACTCATAAGTGAAGAATTGAGAGAACCAACACATTTGGTGTCAGAATTGTTATGAAAGTATATGGGGGGGGTTGCTGTGGCTCAGCGGGTTAACGCCCTGGCCTGAAGGGCCAGCATCCCATATGGGAGCCAGTTCGAGTCCTGACTGCTCCACTTCCCATCAAGCTCTCTGTTATGGCCTGGGAAGGCATTACAGGATGGCCCTGGTCCTTAGGCCCCTGCACCCACGCGGGAGACTTGGAAGAAGCTCCTGGCTCCTGGCTTTGGATCAGCACAGCTCCAGCCGTTGTGACCAATTGGAGAGTGAACCATTGGATGGAAGACCTCTCTCTCTCTGCCTCTCTTCTGAGTAACTCTGACTTTCAAAAAAATAAATAAATCTTAAAAAAAAAAAAAAAAGAAAAAGAGAAAGAAAGTATATTGGAGTATATTGGGGGCTGGCACTGTGATATAATGGGTAAAGCCCCAGCCTGCAGTGCCGGCATTCCATATGGGCACTGGTTCAAGTCCCAGCTGTTCCACTTCCGATCCAGTTCTTTGCTGTGGCCTGGGAAAGCAATGGAAGATGGCCTAAGTCCTTAGACCCCTGCGCCCTTGTGCCCTGCGTGGGAGACATGGAAGAAGTTCCTGGCTCCTGGTTTTGGATTGGCACAGCTCCTGCTGTTGCGGCCATTTGGGGGTGAATGAGTGGATGGAAGGCCTCTCTCTCTCTCTCTTTGCCCGTCCTTCTCTCTGTGTAACTCTGCCTTTCAAATAAATAAGCAAATCTTTAAAAAAAAAAAAAAGAACGTGTATTGGCCCCATTTGTAGTTATTCTATGTGACTGTATGAAATGGAGAATATAATTTGGGGTACTTTTGTAGGAATATTTCTGTCTATTGCTGTTGTTAACAGCATAAAATGGATTTTTATTGAATTTTATGGCAAAAAATCAAATTAATATTTTGTATACTCAAAATTCTAACATGGTCCTTTCCTCTTAAGGAAACTAATTGCCTTAGATATTTAGATATTCTGTTTCAATCTTTGGAAACTTTCACTTACTATGTTGTTTCTCTTTTAGGGTAATAGATGGTCTGGAGACTCTAGATGAATTGGAGAAGTTACCAGTAAATGAGAAGACATATCGACCTCTGAATGATGTACACATTAAGGACATAACTATTCATGCCAACCCATTTGCTCAGTAGCTATATTAAGCCTGGCAAATACATGACACACTGTTTGTTGGAACACACCCATTGTGGTTTACCCAGTTTTAAATATGTCAGAGATTGCATCATCCTTCTTTCTGCTTGTTTACAACAAGATCTTCTATGAGCTGGTGATGCCAAGGAGAGCCCAGTGGCTTTAACCCCCATTCCTACAGCATATTGTTTACTACAACTACTAGCCAATGTATTTCTTTAATATAAAAAGCCTGTTTGATTGTTGTTGCCTATAAATACTCATTTTTAAATGCTGACCCTCTGTTAAGTACAGGCATTTCTGTCTTAGAAGTAATATTTTCTATTATGGAGTTAAATTGATGGACAGGGTAAAGGGATGGTCTAGAAAGGCAGTGTTCTGGTCTTTGGACTTAATAAAAGCTCTAAAAAGTTCTTAGTGTACTCTAACAATATCTCACATGTGATTTACTCATGGAACTTTTTTTAAAGTATATCTTTTGGGACTGGCATTGTGGAGTAGTGGGTTTTGATGCTGGTATCCTATATGGGTTGCACTACTTCCAATCCAGCTCCCTGCTATTGTGCCTAGGGGAGCAGCAGAGGATAGCCCAAGCACTGGGGACCCTGCATCCATGTGGGAGACAAGGAGGGAAGCTCCTGGTTCCTGGCTTTGGCCTGCCCCAGCCCTGGCTGTCTTGGCCAGTGAATCAGCAGATGGAAGATCTGTGTGTCCCCTTGCCTCTGTAATTCTTTCAAATACTCTTTAAAATTTTTTTTAGAAAAAAAAAAAAAAAAGGCGTATCTTGGAGCTCTACAGATTCATTTGAATGTGCAGTAAGCTTGGTAAAAGCAGTTGTGGAGTCCTGGTGTGTGCTCAATCAGCTGTGTCTCCGCAGTGTGATTTTAGGCAGGATAACATCTCTGTTTTCTCATCCATAAATACTTCCTCCGAAGCCTATGTGAGGATTAATTGAAATAGTATGTGTAAAACTTCTGGCATGCAGTTAAGTAAATAAAAGCTGCTCCTAACGAATCTGTGTCTACCACAGGGCTCTCTTGTTATCAAGCTGGTTTTCAGTAGCAGTGTTGATTTCACCAAGAACTGCCCAGATCTGCTTGATTAGACTTGGGGCATTCCTAAAACACACCAAACACTGGCTTCTTGGGTTTCTTCTCCCAACGCTGACCTAATTAATGTTTTGATTCTAACTGCAGTTAGTTGGTAGTTAGCTTGCAGCTCTCCTCTCCTAATTCTAACACACTAAACAGAGGCCATTTGTACCAAGGCCTCACATTTTGTTTCATCTTTTTAATCATTCTGGTTTGTGGGATTAGTAAGAAAGCTTTTTTTAGCCAGAGCTTTTTCTTTCTTGGCCATTTGATACTTCATACCTTGCGTCCACAAATGTCACTAACATTTTTTGTTGTCACTCTTAAAAGGCCTGTATTATTAGGACATTTCTGTATTAACCTGCATTCCAATTTTTATTCTAAACTGCCAGTTTTTAAGTGGTGCCAATATGTTTTAAGAGCTTATTTTAAAAATCCCTCCTCGTTACAGTCATAAAAATATCAGGGACAGGGACAGGGAGGCACACTTACTGCCTACAAACACCATTTCCCTCCCCAACACTCCCTAATCCCGTCAAAGCAGCCCAGGAGCAGCAGCGCAAAATGGCCGCCCTCCGCCCTGCTGCTCGCCCCGGCCGCCCAGTCGGCGCCTGCGCACTCGGGGCCGCGGCGCCCCGCCCCGCGCTCGTGACGTCATCGGTGTTTTCGAGGCGAGTCCCGACGCTGGGACTGTCAGCTCCATTTTGTGCTCGGCGCCCGTCGCAGCCAGCTGGGTGCTCTGCGTTGTTCACCTTGCAAGCTTTGCTCCTCCAGCGTGGAGTCTGGCGGAACGGTAAGACGCAGAGGGAGCGCACCAGTGCCAGGGCCGACCCCGTGAGCGCGGCGAGCGCCCAGCGACGCCTTCTTCGCAGCTTGGTGGCCGCCCGCAGGCTCGGGAGACGACGGCCGCAGCTTCGTCTGCAGGCCGCACCCAGGCGGCGCGACCGTGCGCCCTGCAGAGCCCGTCGCCGCCGGCTTCTGCTCGCGGGTGGTGAAGGAGTTGGTGGCACGGGGTGCGCTGGTCGAGGCGCGGCCTTCCGCAGAGGGGGCGGCGGGGAGGGTCGGGCCCGGTCTCCCGCGGGCGCCATGTTGTCGTCTGCAGTGGCCGAGCTGCAAGATGGCGGCGGGGCGGAGCCCGGACTTCGGCCTCGCGCCGAGGTGGCCGAGCTGCCCGTGCGGCTGGCGGCCGCGTACGTTCTAGAACGTGCGGAGATGGCGGCGCTGCGGGCGGACAAGTGTTGGTAGAAAGCGAGAGCCGCGGCAGGAATCGGTGACCTTTAGGGAGATCAAGACTTTTGTGTCCCCCTACCCCCGTGTTGGGGTGACAGAGGCCGGATTGAGGGGCACGGGGGACTGTGGTGCGTTTCAAGGAGCGTTGGGGGGACGACGGGCGGGTCCCGCTTGACCGTTTTGATCCGGAATTGCAGGCGGAGACGTGCGCGGGCCCGGGCCGTACGAACGGAGGTCAATCTTTTTGACCGTGAGCTATTTTTTCAGCTTGTTAGGGGTTGTCAGCTTTCGTGGGCGGCCTTTCCTGGGAGGAAGGGGGCTTCACGCGACTCCAGAGAGCTTGGATCGTTGACTTGCGTGCGTGCCGAGAGTCCTTGGTGTACAGAAATACTTTCTGTCGACGATTCTGAGGTCACGGCGAGGAGCACGGATGATGGCATTAGAGTTGGAGGCTGGCTTCTGACACAGGTTTTTAGAGTTGGTTGTGTTACCGGCCAGCATGAGTAAGATTTTACTCAAGTTGAGAAATGGGCATTCACACCCTTCCTTTTTAACAATTCCTAGTATTGTTCCAGCAAATCTGGGCATGGGTGGATAGGATAATGCAGTAATTGGATTTATCGGTGTTTGCAGATTGGATGACAGTAATTCCGAACTTGAAAGAACAATTCCAAAAGGTCACAGCTGGGCTAAGTTTGCAAAGAAGAGATCTATTATTAAACAGCTCGGTGTAGGGTGCAGCTTAACTGGGGATAACTTGTCTTTTATGTAGATGAGACACTCAAAGAGAACGTACTGCCCGGATTGGGATGAAAAGGATTGGGATTGTGGAAAATGGAGAAGCAGCAGCAGTCATAAGAGAAGGAAGCGATCACCTAGCAGTGCTCGGGAGAACAAGCGCTGCAAATACAATCACTCTAAAACATCTGATAGGTAAGGGTGTGCTTAAAAGTGTCGCAATGCAAAAGCACATTTTATGGTAAAAGTATCACATAAACAACTGAGACCAGGTGTTGAGCTGAGTGGTTAAGACACCCACGTTGCAGTTTCAAAGGCTGCGGTTTGATTTCCTGACTGACCTCAGAGGCAGCTGTGGTGATTCAAGGGCGAGTTCTGGCTCCTCTAACAAGGGCCCCAGACCCAGCCTACCACTTGCAAGCATTTAGGGAGTGAACCAGCCAATAGGAGCTATCTGCTTCTCAAGAAATAGCTTGTAAGGGGGATTACCATTCCTTTGTTCCAACGAGAGATGGTATTTTATTTTATTTAAATTTATGAAGCACAGAGCACAGTGGCCTGCCTGGTGCCAGAATCCAAGAAATCAGTCCAGTTCTCCCAGTACGGCTAGCAGGAAGCCAGTAACTGAGCTGTCACTGTTGCCTCATAGGGAATAGTGGGAAGCTGGAGTCCAGAGGTGGAGTGGGGACTTAAACCCAGGCGCTCTGATACAGAATATGGGCTTCTTAACCAGCATCTTGACCTCTAGACCAAACCGCTGCTCCCTGTGAGATTTTGTAAACTTTGTGTGCTCTGGCGGGTCGGGAGCATAAGTGTTTTACTGAAAAAGATAATGAAACTGGAGGATATTTGATATTGGCACAAAACATTGAAAATGTTTTTTTCCGTAGCTATTATTTGGAAAGCAGATCTATAAATGAGAAAGATTATCATAGTCGACGCTACATTGATGAATACAGAAATGACTACAGTCAAGGATGTGACCTTGGACATCGCCATAGAGACCATGAGAGCAGATACCAGAACCATAGTAGCAAGTCCTCTGGTAGAAGTGGAAGAAGTAGTTATAAAAGTAAACATAGGATTCACCACAGTACTTCACACCATCGTTCACATGGGGTATGAGCCGTTTTAAAACATTTTGGGAATTTTATATCCCATGTGGAACAGGAATATTTGAATTTGTGTTTGAGAAAGTTCTGTTTGAGATAAAGTCATCTCAATTTTAACTTGCAGGATTTTTTTCTGTATTTATGCATTGGATAGGAGATTCCTAAAGTATAGTAGATACACGTATTTAGTTCTATACTAGACTTAATTATTGATTGGCTACAAATTGTCATTCCATTGAAATTGTGGAGGTTATTGAAAGTACTTGAAGAAATTGATTTGTTTTAATAAGCTCCAGTATAAAAATAATAGGCATTTTATTTTTGTAAGATTGAGGATTAGGCATGCCTCTTTGTAATTAAATAAAGCATGTTATCTAATCCTTTTCAGTAAGAACATAAATGAAATTTATGAGTTAAGTGTTAATTTGGAGATCAGCTAAGATGACATTTTAAATGTGATAGTATTATCTTGTATGCCAAGTCTTTTTCTCCCCAAAATTAGGACTTTAATTTTGTTTACTGTTTTAATATTTGTTTTCTTAGATGAGCTAGAAAATTTGGCCACAGTCTATTTTGACAAGTAAATAGTTACATCCTACAATTTTGCAACATGAAATTAGGACACTAGAAACTTAAAATTATGTTTCAGAGAGTGCTACAACTAAGCATTTTTTTAAAGAAAAACAATTGTATTATGTTTTGTTGCCTTGCCACTTTGAGTATCTTATCTGAAAATCTGTTCCTTGCCATGTTTTTCTCCTGTTAACATAAACTATGTGCCCTGTGAATTTCTGGGGACTGAATTTGAAATTGCTCCTGCCAACCGTTTGTGGCCTGGCGTGTATCTGAATGCCTGAATATCTCCCCGCTGAATGAATTTCGTATTCTGCCCTGAATTCACTCGGGTATATTGATTGGCTGGATGATCTTGGTGCCGCCCACTTGACGTTTCCAGAAGAGTCACCGAAGGAAAAGAACCAGGAGTGTAGAGGATGATGAGGAGGGTCACCTGATCTGTCAGAGTGGAGACGTACTAAGTGCAAGATGTATAGAATATTTTTCAACACTTATTAACTTTTCAGATAACATAATCTTTATATAGATTAAGTTTTCAGGGATTTGGAAATCTTTTTCTTTCTCTCTCTTTTTTGTTTTGTTTTGTTTTGTTCTCTTTTGTTTTTCCATTTCTTTTGGTGGGGGGGGATTGCATTTTTGCTTTCTTTAGAAATTTAATGTTTGTTA